TATATATATATATAAGACGGTCACAACGTGACGGGACAACAGAAGGTAATGGGTAATTGAATGTATGCGGACAAAATCTTGTTGGCCACGTGAGACATAGCGTTGTTATAGAGCGACTGTTGAAATTAAGTGTATCGTAAAGTTATATTCAGAAAGAATAAACCAGTTTTATTTAAGAAAGGACTTGTGTCGCTAAAGTTTCGTCGGAACGAATTTACGTAAAATTAACTAACGACTGGAGGCGTAACAGTATTCTAACAGGTGAATGTACAGAATCTATTCTTTGGCATCATGTTTCGAACCTTGAACCCTTTGATCCACGGTTAGACATGTTAATGACTAGGGCAAATCCGGCCTAATTTTGTTTGTTGTTAATTACAATATTACACAATGGGCTATCTGTGCTGTGCCCACCGTGGGCATTGAAACTAGATTTTTAGCGTTATAAGCTTTCGGACTTACCTCTAAGCCGCTGGGTTGCACCGGCATGCCACAGAAATGAGTTTTTTAATTACATAAATACAATAAAAAATTGAAACACACATCTTACGTGTTCGTGAGGAAAATAATGCGTTTTCTACCTAGTCTTATTACAATACATGTAATGAAATTTTAGTTAATTATTACAATATCTTCAATATATGTGTCATTTTGATGAAGAATATCACAGATGATCGCTACACAATAATAATAAAAGAACTGAAATGTTTTCGAAACTTTTAATTTAATTTGCGATTGATCCCTTTCTCATTTCAATATAAAATGGCTGTTTGTTTGCTTAAAGTGTTGAATGTGGACTCTTCATCAAGAAAAGTATATATTTTTGTATTTGTTTGGTAATTAAGATTTATAGATCTATATTATATTCTACTAGAATTATCTATCTTGTGTAATGTGGTATTATTGTAATTGATATATATGAAGACTTGAAATTTCGATGTTGTTTAAAATAGTGCGTAATCATAGGCCTAACGCAGCGTGTTTGTAACACATGGTAAAGCATTAGGACTCTGACTTACACCACTACTAATACTTGCCAGATCTTTTGAACAATAGCAGATTAAATCAAATAAAAATAACAATTAATTATAAATGGATTCAAAATAAATAATGCAATGTTAAAAATCCATACCCTAATTTTAATAAATTAATATGTTGTGGCATAAAAAAGTATGTACAAAAATTACACTTACGACTTAACCAATTTAAATTAACATTAACAACAGTTATTGACAAGCGATTTTTACTAATGTAAATAGCATCTCTACCACAACAATGTATGTCTTATTGCAGCTGGCCCAAAAAAGCCATAATACAGTAATATTAGATAAACTGGAAAGGCCCCATCACTGGCAGCAGCACTGAATATAGCATGTGTAGTATGCATGACATATTTTTATGTACTTCTTTACTATCACTCAGAAGTTTATATTATTTACGTAGAACAAGTACTAGCATAAAGTACAAGTGTATAGGCCTGTTATAAAATTGTTTATTGTCTCTTACGTTGACACTAGATGTGAATAGGGTAATCAACTCATGAGAATAAAATGTAAAAGACAAGATAGTGGGATCTGTGGCCTGGAGGATACTGGAATTCCAAGTGATGTTTTTTAGTAATTGAGTGTGAAAATATGTATTTTTGTGCTGTCTTCAGAAAATTTTAAGAATATTGTTCATGTCTCCCACTTCTCTACCATAGCGTAAAATTAGTGGCCAGTGTTTTTTTGTTGCTAAAGTGTGAAATTCTGTAGTGTGTAAATGAGTGTTCCACACTCGTGTTTGTGGGGAAAAAAAGTGTTTTTCTGTTTTGTTTTTTTACCTCAGTGTTGCATAATACAAGACTTGCTTGTAAACCTTTTATATTTTATAGTTCACCATGGAATATCAGTTGCTATATGTTTTTATTACTGTTCCTTTGAAAACAGTAAGCTTCACTTTGTTCAGTGCTGCATGTTAATATCTTTTAGCCTATTGGCTATGTTATTTAGATTATTTGGTTAGTTTAGCAAATAAATGGCACATGGCTTTTAATTGTAATAAATATAAGGTAATGCATGTAGGTTATAATTTAAATTATAAGCATAATTTGGATGGGAGTAACATTAATACCGTTATGGAAGAAAAAGATTCTGGTGTAATGGTTGATCAGTCTCTTAAGACATCCAAGCAATGTGCTGTTGCTAGTGGCAGGGCAACTAAGATTTTAGGTTAGGTTGTATCTACATAAATATTGAATACAAGTCTAAAGAGGTTCATTGTATTGGTTACTTGTTAATTATTGTGTTTGGTCTTGGGCTCCTTACATTAGAAAGGACATTGAATTGTTGAAAAGGATTCAGAGGAGGGCTATTAGGATGATAACTTGGATGGAAAGGTTGTCATACGAGAACAAGTTAGATCTCTGAAATTGTCTTTTCTTGAAAAAGAGTTGGGGGAATTTGATTGGTGTATTTAAGATTAAAGGAATTGATAGTGTTGATGCATAATCTTTTTTTCATAATTAATTGTGGGAATGGTAGGACTAGTGGACACAAATATAAGTGTTGGCAGGGTAGGAGTCATTTTCAGCTAAGACAGTTTTACATTTTTTAACAGAGTGGTAGGACTTTGGAATGATTTGACTTCATATGTTGTAAATTTAAGGTACCTTAACATTTAAGAGAAGACTGGATAAATAAATTATAATGATAAGGTCTGTCTTTAAGAGTTGTTTTTTTTTAGTTTAGTTTAATTATACCAGTAGGTTCCTTATCCTTGTATACTATGTGCTGTGAACTATACCTGTTTATTTTACTCTTGTGTGAGAGAAACAATGGTGTTGTGGGAAAAAGAAATAGGTGTGATTGTTGGTAAAACCATTCAAAAAGGTTTATGTTGATTGTTTAACTGTGGTGAAAAGTGCTAATTTCAAGGACTACGGGAGAGGTGCATTGTAGCAATGGCAAAATGATTTTCAGGAAACATAAAACATACTTGTAAAATAAAGAACTTTATTGGCACATAATATTTACACACATACTTGCAGAATCACCAAAATTTTCAGGAAACCATTAACTGTCAGATTTTTTACTCACTGCGTACTTCTGGGGTCGGAGAGATGCACCTTGTTTCATGTTAAGTAAATCAAGCTTTATTTTAATTTAATGCTTGAAATATGTATTATATAATCCACATACACATTAGTAAATCACTTTTATACAGAGATTTGGTCTGTTGTTTTTAAAGTAGTTTCTCTATTAGAGAACGATAGTGGTACCAATAAAGACAATGATTTCCATCCAGCTTTAAAAAGGTGGTGGTGAGGAGAATTTCATGTAGTAGGTGTGTACTGAACCATGCATTCAGTATATAGAAGAGAAAAACCTAAAAGTCCCATCTTGCTTCTTTTTTTAAATAGTGCATTGGCTTATTTGATATATCAGATAGTCTCTCTCTAGTATCTCCTTCGCAGTGTCTCTAGAAATGTTACTTGATGGTGGTGAGTTCCTTCACCCAGACAAACATGAGTGTTATCCTTTGTTGCTTATACAGATACATTAACAGTGGCTTCTGTAGTTATCTTTAGCAGTGTTTCTAGAAATATTGCTTGATGATGGTAAGACCCTCCATCCAGATGATCATGAATGGAGCAGGGCAGTTAGTGGTATTTGCTAAAAGACTAATGGCCCTCATAGTTTATTAGAAGTGATTAATCAGTTAGTATAGTGTTCCTCAAATGATGGTTTGTAAAAAAAAAAAAGTTAATGGTAGGTGCTGCCAGACATTTGTCTTACTGTCAACCATTTGCTTCACATTTATTCAGCTGTTCAAAATTAGTGATAGTGGCAAAAAGCCATAATAGATTTGCCACAACAAAATTATGGCAAGGATGTTTGGTGGCAATGGGAATTAAACCCAAGACCCTGAATCAAGAGCCTCTCCCCCCAAATCACCAAAGCTGAACAAAGTTTTTGAAGTAGAAAATAACAACTTATAAAGCTAAAAGTGGGCGCAGCACGGATATAGCCCATTATGTATCTTTGCAATTTATAACAAACAAACATAACAGCAATTATTTGATTACGTAACAACTGGAAGCCCTGTTGTGATTATTTTCATGACAAACAATATAATCAGAATTTTGATTAATCAATTTTTGGAATAATTGAAAACAGTAATAATCAGAAACACTAATTCAAATAATCAATTGGTTTATGTGACAGTTGATTTGGTCATAATTTTGATTAATTGATTGTTGGAACAGTTGAAAACTGTAATAATAGGAAACATTAATGTTAATTAATTGATTAACTTGTGTAACATAATCAGTGCAGTTGCTGCTTATAGTTTGTTGATTTAATCAACTAATTGATTACATTTTCCAGTTCTAAATGTGAATGTTATCTTTTGTTGCTTATTACAGATACAGTAATGGAGGCTTTTCTAGTTTATCTGTAGGAGTTTCTCTAGACGTGTTACTTTGTGAGATAGTGAATTCTACTTTTATTTTGTAATGGTTTTGTTTACTTTTATTATTCCTTCTATTGTTTAGCACAACTGTGAATTTTTAGTTATATTAAAATGCAAACTCAACTTCTAGCTAGAGCACATTGAATTTGTGTGTGTGTTTGTATTATGAAACTGACACAAGCTTTTCATAGTGGTGACATACAGATATTACTGTTGTGAAAGATTATGTAAATTAGCTAGTCACATGAGGTGTTAACTCATGGTGTAACCACTAAATAAAAACCCTTTCTTGATCTTAAATGAGTTAATTCACAAGATATAGTTTGAATGAGTTATTAATAATTGTTGTTCAGTATTGTTCAATATTTTTTCAATGGTTGAAAAACACTGCTCTAGTGTTTGTGTAGCAGAATTCATTCAGACCTTATTGTGTAAATAATCATAGATATATTTTTAACAGCCTTTGCTGTATCAATTAGAAAATGGGCTTGCTACTTAAAGAATAGTTGGTAATGAGTGTAGAAATTATTGATGTTATTAACTGAAATTGTACAAGTTTTGATAAATGACTCTAGTTTTTACTCTCTTCATGCATCGTCAAGGGAGGTGATAACAATTGTCCCAGTAATTATAGACCCATTAGTCTTGTATCAGTTGTGGGAAAAATTGTGGAAAGCCTGTTAAAAGATGTTTAACAAAGTTTAGAATTTTATTGGATAGTCAACATGGTTTCACTAAGGGAAAATCTTGCCTTACAGATCTTTTGACATTCTCTGAAAAGATTACTGCTTATGTAGATGAGGGTAGAAGTGTAGATTTGGTGTATCTGGATTTTCAGAAAGCATTTGACAAGGTGTCACATAAAAGGCTTGTAAAAAAAATTAGCTCTATAGGTGTAGAGGATAAGTTAGCAAATTGGATAGAAGAGTGGCTGGATGGAAGGAAGCAGAGGGTTGTTACAAATGGAGTTCAGTCAAACTGGATTAATGTCACAAGTGGGGTACCTCAGGGCTCAGTCTTAGAACCTCTTTTTGATTTACATCAATGACATAAATGAAGGAATAGTCAATAAATTTGCAGATGATATTAAGGTCTTGTGTTTTTCTAGCTGTGAAGAGGATGCTGTTGATTTACAAAAGGATTTAGATCATTTAATGAGTTGGGCAAATAAATGGCAGATGGGTTTTAATTATAATAAATGCAAGATAATGCATGTAGGTTATCATAATTTGAATTACAAGTATAATTTCGATGGGAAGAACCTTAATAGTGTTATGAAGGAAAGGGATCTTGATGTAATTGTTGATCAGTCTCTAAAACCATCCAAGCAGTGTGCTGTTGCTAGTGGTAGGACAAATAGGATTTTAGGTTGTATCTATAGAAATATTGAATACAAGTCTAAAGAGGTCATACTTTCATTGTACATGTCACTGGTTAGGCCACATTTAGAATATTGTGTTCAGTTTTGGGCTCCTTACCTTAGGATGGACATTGAATTGTTGGAAAAGGTTACTAGAATGGTGCCTGTGATGGAGGGGTTGTCATACGACGAGAGGCTGAAATCTCTCAAATTGTTTTCTCTTGAAAAAAAAAGAGTTAGGGGGGATCTGATTGTGGTGTTTAAGATTGTAAAGGGAATTGATAGTGTTGATTTTTCATCATTTTTTATATTTAACAATGAAAACAGTAGGACTAGAGGACACAAATATACATTTTGGCAAGGTAGGAGTCATCTTCAGCTAAGACAATTTTATTTTTCTAACAGGGTGGTTAGCCTTTTGGAATGGGTTGCCTT